CATGGCATAATTCAGTCATATCACCTGAAATGCACCGGCAATATCTGCCATGCGCAGTAATAACGTCAACTGTAAGTAGGTCATACGTTTATCGATTTTTTTTACTGGTATAAAAAAAACTTCCCCTGATTTACGGTTCGTAACTCTTAGGCGGAAAAATTGTTGCCAAAATGAATAGGGGCCGTGCAACCAAAGATTTTCGCCCACATTAACTGTATATTACGTATATTAGATTCGTATAGACCATAGTATAGCGTTCATTTATTCTTGAACTTTCACACATGTACTCAATGAAATTTTATTAATAAAAGCTCTCCCTAACGATCTTTGTATACTTTATTATAAATACCATTGATCAGATTTTCGGGATGCGATCGTATTAACGTAATTTCCCCCAAAGCATATTCCAAAGTCGATCCTGCAAATTATATAAAAAGGTGAAGTCTCAGTGAACTCTTTTATCCGCCCTGTACAGGTAAAACAAAAAAATAACAAACGAAACTAATCAAACTTAACGTTATATTCATCATTAATATCCACAATCAATCAAACGTGCAAAGTAATAATAAGGTGGATTGATTATTGATTGGCTAGATTCCGGAAGAACGTCATCACGATATTCATCGATTTTTCCGCCTATATAGATGCTCAAAAATAAAACGAACATATTACCTTTCTTGATCCTTTTAATATTCGTTGAGAAAATCGGCACGCGTCTAATCAAATTGCTGTGGCTTAGTATTTTTCACCTGATTCTTGACACATGCTGTAATTTTTACAATACGTAATACGTGACACTTGATATCACATGGTCGATCTATTGTGGATGTGCTTGTCTTTGAAATCGTGTATTAGTCATGAATCACGAATATTTTGAACGAAAGCTTGAAGGATGGAATATTGTTGACTTTCTAAGCCGGTGCAGTATAGAACCGTATGACGCAAAGATAGACAGATATATAAAAAGTCTCAAAGCCGTCGCTGACGAGCAAGGAGAGGGCGAGAGGGCTTAAAAGGCGAATTTTCTTTTAGACGAATTTAAAAACGCAAGTAAAAATTCTTTTAAGCGTGGCGTGAACGAGAGCCTGCTTGGTTCTCGTTCATTCAAGGCTGTTTGCTGAGCCATGAAACTGGTGCTGGCGCACAGGTGACCTACTTGGTTATCTGATGCCAAAGGCTGTTCGCTGATCCAGCACTGGACCTACTGGGGCACAGGTAGCCTGCTCGGTTAGCTGATGTTCCGGTGGGATAAGAAATATTAGTTGAAAATTATTAATAATTTCCAAAATTTATTGCTAGAGTCCTGACCGTAAAAAAGCAAGTGAATGGGAGAAAAGCGTTCGCAGAGACAGATTAACATTCACCAACCAAATATAACCGCGGGGACTGCAGTAAATGGAGGAACAGTTGAAAATGTAAACGGTGAAGTAAAACTTATGCCAAAGAAAAGAGATAATAATGAGGTACGGGTGTGTAATTTATGAGAATTGCAGCCTGTTGTAACTCTTTCTTTTTATATTTAGTCCGGTGACGATTTCAAACCATGCTTATCCGACAAAAGCAGAAGAAACAGTCAAAAAAGGTCGCTATAAAGAATAAAGAATCGGTTGCCTCAGCTTCTAATAAGGTGTGTGTAAAATGCAACTTGTGATAAGGATTTGTTTGCGCGAATTCCTCTTAAAAATAGCGACTAATTTGCGCGATTCCTTTTAGACTGATGATGATAAAGATTTGGAATATATACCTGAGTCAAACGTTAGCACAAGTGGTTCAAAAAAACGTAAGAAATCATCTAAAGGAGTAGAAGAGGTGAAGAATTTGCATTCTCTTCAGAGTAACTGATCAAATGCTCATTTTTTATTTTAGTGGCCGATTTTATATTCATCTGTATTTTTTTGTGTGGGATATGCACCGGATAATAAAAATTTTTATGGCAAATTTGCGGGACCGCGCGGTTTTAGAAAATCACATGATTTTTTATTTTTGAATATTAACATACTAATACTATATAACGCTAGTATGCAATCCGAAATAGATGAGACCGATTCATTTAAAATATGCATTGCCAGGCTTGAGGTCAAAAATGCCGAACTTAGAAAGAAGTTTGCTGAGATTGAGGCCAGAAATGTTGAGCTTAAGGCCAGA